TATGATAATTTAAGGAAAAAAAATTAAAAGCACATAAGTGCTTTTTCTTTGTCACCCCACAAGGACACAGTGAATTCTCTTGTATTCATTTGTACAGCAGTTTTATTTTTCCGAATGTAAAAATACTTTAAGAACCAGTATAAAACTCAGCTGTCTTTGGGGTTCTTGTCCAAAATAATCTTTAACTTAATTTTTCATTTTTCTCAGCAACCTTTTAGCTAAAAAGAGGTTAAAATAAATTCACCTTATCTTTCAGGTTTTTAGGAAGGTATGGTTCTTGTTTTACTGTATCTTGAGGAGTTGGACACCAAAATATATCTCAGTGGCTGAGAATTTTGAGACAAAGCATAACTTACTTGTGCTTCCTGCAGCATGGACTTCAATGCACTAACAAAATAGCCAGAACTCTCTTTATTCAGAAATGTGGCCACTCTGTAGAGCTCTTGGATAAGGAGTAAGAATTGTGGGTTCCAGGTTGTCCTCAGTCCAATCTCCTTCCTATTATAATAGTGTCCTAATCATCTGATTAGCAGAGTCATCTTTAAATTTGAATTATTGTACTGCAAAGCAGGCAACATATTTTTCATAACACATGAATTTTTCTGATGGGTTACATTGAGGCTGCAGGATGATCTGCTGAGTTACCAAATGTTTAGGTGTATTTTCCATTTTGCAGTGCATGAGAATTTTCAGCCTAGCAAAATTTTTCCACACATAGAAATAAATGGTTGTCACTTCTATAATTATGGTTAAGCAGTAGTTAATGCTTGCTTTGTCCAACACATTGTGGCTGACTGCAGTTCACATCTGTGAAAGTGTTCGCATGTTGCTTTATTCTTCTTTAGTCTGTAATGGAGTACTTTGAGTTGTTCATTTGTAAAAGCTCAGTACGTTAATAAATGATGGTGTTAACTATCTTTTCAGCATAAAACGCAGCTAATAGAGTCATTTCATGTGTGCATTTGAGTGAATATTTTAAATTCTCTTTCTTCTTTACTAGGAAAACGTTCTCTGTAGGACATAATTTTTCTACCAAAACCTACCAGCTAGAATCTAATTTGAAGCATCAGGAGTCAGATGATAACACAATAGGGTAAAAGGCAACAAATATAATTGCTTGTCTGCTGTTTATAGATTATCTAAAGAGCAGCCGTGAAGTTCACACTCAATTTCTGAGTGGCAGCTATGAATTTGACAATTATCTTGTCCATTTCCAAAAACTGTAATCATCAGCAACTGTTGACACACTCAGGAAAATGGTATTGCCTGGTTTATCTGTTTTCCTTTTTAAAGGAATGTCTGAAAATTGTTCTAAATGAAAACTTCAGTTTTTCAAAAATTTCTATCTTGCTTTGAAAGCCAGTTGTTTTTTTTTTCACTCACCAGTGTTCCTCCCCCCTTCTTTTCCCCAGTATTTCATGTTTAACATTCACTCATGACTACAGAATACAGCTGAATATGTTACAAAGAGTGATTTGAGTAACCTTCACTTAGATGATAAAATCTGAATGATCACTGCAACCACACCCATAAAACAATGAACTTTCATAAAAGACAAATTAAGTAGAAGCACAATGGGCATCTCACAAGGACAGAGTGAATGTGGAGAGACCTTTTCATTCCAAGGTATGTCAGCTGGGTTATAATTGGCTCTAATTAACACACTGTGTTTCAGCTATAAAAAATCTTTACCTTGAAACTCAGTGACACTCAAAAGATGTGAAATTTCTTCCTACCTTTGAAAACATCAGAGAAAGTGCTTCCAATCTAGCTTTTATAACTGAAAGTTCAGTGATCAGTGCAGAAAAGGTGCAAATACATCAACAGACAAAAAGAATATTGGTCTCTGGCTGGAAGAACTCTTTAAGAGTTAATTGGTCAAACCAGATTTCATTATCTATAATTAAAAATATATCTACATATATCAACACCAAATGCTAGTTATACCTTGAGCAATGTGTAAAAAAAATGGTGGACTTCCAGATGATTCTGGTCACATTTAAGATTTCTTAGTTCTCCATTAAATTGTGTGATGATCCTGATGTCTTTTGATTTTTGGAAAACTGGAATGTGGAGGGTTAGCTGTGATCACATGCAGGTTATAACGCATTATTTTTTTTAATCCTGTTATGTGTGTTCATAAAATGTTTTCATCTCTTTGAAGGATCTAACATGTATCTGTGCAGCAAAATTATGTGGAATTCTGAAATAAACATGCCAGTGCCAGTTGGTTACTTCTCATTATTATGGGCAACGGATGATTGAATGGTTAATTGATACTGCTTTGTTTTTATTATCAGCACTCATTTTCGGTTGCTTATAAGTTTTCCCAAGTTGTACCATACAACTTTAACAAGAAATACTTTTGAAAAGAAGATTGACAGTCCCACAGACAAAACAGCCCAATTTAAAGCAAATTGTAGAATCATTTTGGTCCCATGTCCTTGTTAAAAAACATTTGAAAACATGATACCTTTAATATGCTAAATGAAGGGATTTTTGTCCTAATACAAGAAACCTTATGACTTAAAAAGGCCTGAACCATAGGCCTCGATCCAGAGTTGACTTCTGAGTGAACCTCCTGACCAGCATCAGTTCAGCATGAAATATGACCATGGTAATATAATCTGAAAAGTATAGATAAAGAATATATTTTTGGACCCTAAGCTAGCTGTTACCTAGAATACAGGAACTCCTTGGACACACTTGGGATCCTAGCCAGATCCAGGATGCGCCCAAGTGAAGTGAAGCCAATCTACCAGGTGTTTTCATGCCCTTTTTTATAGGATTTATTTGTTAAACTGTATAAAAGCAGGACCCTCTCACAGCAAAGATGGAGACCTCACCTATGAGTGGACACACTGCGTAGGACTTCTCAGTTGCTGGGAGCAGTTCTCCAATTCTTCGCTGTGATGGGGCTCCCCAGCTGAAGCACACATATGGATGATGGTGAAGTATTAGGGCAATTAGTGATGTATCTTTCTTATTCGCTATAGCTAACTCTATGTAGTAATGATCAGATGCATTACCTTACTTATTATTTCTGCTGCTTTAAACTAATGTAAAATAAGCTTATCTTTTTAACTTGGTGTCTGTGTCCTTTCTGTTGACCCCGTCAACTGGTAAAACAGCTCATTACAAATGAACTTCTAGAAGTAGTTAATTTCCATGGATTGACAATGTAATAAGGATGAAGGTTATGGTTCCAGGAGAAGATAGATGCAGAAGCTAGCCCTTTCTTCTATCTGCTCTGTTGCCTTAGGGAGAAGTTCACTGGGTGAGCATTCAGCCAACACGCCTTTTAGTTATAGTTCCAGCTTTTTTATCTACTTGGTGTTAATGTTCTTTTTTGACATAGTTCTATTTTGTTTGCATAGTCTGGATTCTCTATAACAGCCAAGGGGTGCGGTCATCTGCCTATATATCTAATGCTTGTTTTACTAACAATGCAGAGTAAAAAGCAATGAAACTGTTCACAGAAGAAGCAAGAGGATTTTGAGAGGAAGATATCTGATGAGAATAACCAAGGTTGTGTTTCACTTATGGTGTGAAAAAAATGACACTACATCACTTCTTTTTATTACCTGCAACTTCCTATTTTCTTTTTCTTGTTATACCATAAGATTACATAGAGTTCCATAGCTTAGATCTAGGGCAAGCTAGGTCATTCCTACTGTTGTAGGAAGGTAGGAGTAATGAAAAATGGGGGATAAAATAGGAGCATGCATAGTGTGCAGCACTGAGTTAGGAAGGTAGCTAGTGGCTGCCTAATGTTGGACTTAGTTGCCCAAGGGTGCCTCTACTCATGCAACCTCCTTTGATCTCCTCAATCCAGCTACTGAACTGATTGAGGCAAAAAGCTAAACATAGTGGAAAACTTACATCTAGTGATGGACTGTTGACAAACCTCAAGAGGTACTTCATATATGCACTGAGGATGAGAGCACCGCATCAAATGCCTTTGAGTAACTTAAGTTTTTTTTTCTAGAGATGGGGAGACATTTCTCCATGTAGCTATTGTTACTAAAGTTGTGATCTCTGCCTTTAACTATATTCTGTTGCAGCCATAAGATATGTGAGAGGTTGCACAGCTTTTACAATAAACTGTTGGATATGGAAGTCTATTCTCATCAAATGACAAGTGTTATTCTATTAACCTTACTGTGTTATCTCCAGCAAATTTATTAGGGTTATAGTGCATATACTTAGCTGTGCTGCCCATACTGACTGGCTTGAATGTGCTGCTTCTCAAAAAAAACCTGGACATGAGGACTGATTTTTTTTGCGTTCCTCAGGTATTGCATGAAACTAGTGAATCACAGGTAAAAAGCTTATGTTGAGTCATAACAGCTGCTGAACTGGAAGAGGTTTGTGTCAAAGCTCTGAGGCTTATAATTTTTGGTGCATCTTTAAGAAGGGATGCACGACATTAAATGTGAAGAACTTTGAGGTTTCATGGTAGAGCACTTGAAAGTCGAGGTCCCCATTTTTTTCTGTGTATCTATGCTGAATGACTGCTACAGTGACATAATCACTGTTTTGCATGATCGCCATATGATGCAGATTGGTTGTCAAATGGAGTAAGGATTTGAAGAAGCTCTTTTTACAGTTAGGCTAGCACTGAGGGAAACTGGAAAGCATTCCTTTTTCCAGTAGATTTGGTTGAGATGTCAAAGGGCACTCAAAAAGAAAAGGATGTGTGCATTAGTACTGACTAAAAGATTCCATGAGCAAGCCTAGGTTTGGAATCACGTAGCTTTTAAGTAAATGATGCTGTGATAATGTTCATCTAGTATGTGTAAAATGTGCTACATTGCTAGTTAATGGCAGATTTTGCACTTAAAATATGGGACAGCTTTTAGCTGAAGGAAATCATAAGGAATATCATTTAATATGTTTTGGAATAGATTAGATTCACAGAGTTAAAATGCCTTCCTAGTGCAAATTCTGATTGATTTTAATGTTAGGTTGTTTTTTTCTTTTCTGTTTCTGTTTTACAGTGTTATGTGGGAACCAATGGGAGACGGTAAAAAGATTATTTCACTGGCTGATAATAACATATTATTGTGGGATTTACAGGAAAGTTCAGCCACAGCTGTGGTAAGAAAAAGTTTTAACAAATCATGATATACTTGAATGTAGTACAAACAACATCCACTAGCCTAGAATTTGCTAATCCTCTAACTGTTCCTTCAGAAATATCTTGTTACATTTAATGGGGATGGTGAAACTGATACTCCATTGGTTGTCTTGAAAAGGAATATTTAAGAGGAATATTTTTTTATCTGTTGCTGGTGACTAAATATTTTCCTTTGTCTAGATTTTTCCTTTCCTACCAATTTTACAGTGAATAATCTAAAATAAAGCAATGCTAATTTGATAAACCTGTATGTGGGAAAAATTGGTGATCGATAAAGCCAAAGGTTATTAAATTCAGATAACAGAATATTAACTCATGTTAATACCATGCAGCCCTCTAATTTGCAACCTTTGTTGTACATAAAAACATAATTTCTCTATATACTATGCACTGCTTTGAGTTTTCAGTATTAATTTACTATTACATTTCTGTTCAGATTATTTCACTCATTAAAACCTTCTTATTAAGGAACATATATAAAAAGGTGTCATTAGCATAGATTTCTGTCTGATTATGCCACCTTTGCTTATTTTGCACAGTTTGCTTACTTATGTGTAATGATATAGATTGTATATAAAAAACTTTGAATGTTTCTGTATAGTTATTTAGGTCACTGTCTGTCCTTAAAAATGGAAACTGATTATGTCAAGGACTTTAAGTTGATCTGTTGTCACTTCTCGAATGAATTTCTCAGTTCAGGGTTAGTTTCTTTTCTTGGATGCTACAGAATCACATTTTTCAACCAGCAGTTGCTTAGCCATAAACTCTTCCCTGCTGTACCATCTAACTGTGTGCAAATAGGTGATGTCTTGAGATGTTATGGTTTTACATAGTGTCAATGTAATGTAATATAGTTTAATCCTTCATGTTCATAATTAAGCCTTTTGGGTTCCTTCACTAGAAGCCAGCATTATTTCACATGGAACTTCAGTTAGCGTTTTGTTACCCTCCAAGGCTTCTTCAAAGTAGTGTTTGGTTTTATCAAATTGATGTTGAGAGTTTCTGAAGGCTTGCCTCCAGGAGCTTGTCTGTGGTATTGTATCCACTGGATTTCCATTACTCCTGCATTAGTCAGTGTTTCTTTTCTAATGCCTGCATAACACACAGACTTATTTCAAATGCCTTCTTTAAACCTTTGAAAAACTAGTTTTGAGGGTGGTTCTGCTTCCATGCTATAGCTCTTCATGCCTTCTTGAAGTGCTAGGACTTCTAGACCACTCACTATTTTTGCTTTCTCTTTGGGCAGCTCTGTCACCTCTTCATAAAGTTTTTTTTAACAGTAATTAGATTTTTTGAATGTCCCAACCACTCTTTCATAACTATATCAAATTTCTTCCTAATCTCTGAAATATGATTTCCTTGGGGATGCTGTACAGTGTGTTATCAGTCTCTCTGTATGTGCGGGAATCTTGTAATGAATGCCAAGTTCTTCATTTTTTCATCTCATTTTATTTTGCTTGTGATGTTTTGGGATCCAGAAAACTATAGACCTGTCAGTCTGACATCAGCACCAGGGAAAGTCATGGAGCAGGTCATCTTGGCTGCCACTAAAAGTCATATAATGGACAACTAGGGGATCAGACCTAGTCAGCATGGGTTTGCGAAAGGCAGGTCCTGCCTGACAAACCTGATCTCTTTCTACAACAGGGCGAAATGCTTATTGGATGAGGGAAAGGCTGTGGATGTTGTTTACCTTGACTTTAGGAAGGCCTTTGACAGGATTCTCCTGGCAAAACTGGCTGCTCTTGGCTTGAATGGTCACACACTTCACTAGATAAAAAACTTGCTGGATGGCCGGGCCCAAAGAGTTGTGGTGAACAGAGTTAAATCCGGTTGGTGGCCAGTCAAGAGTGGTGTCCCCTACGGCTCGGTTTTGGGGCCACTCCTGTTTAACATCTTTATTGATGATCTAGACGAGGGGATCGAGTGCACCCTCAGTCAGTTTGCAGATGACACCCAGTTGGGTGGGAGTGTTGATCTGCTCGAGGGCAGGGAGGCTCTGCAGAGACCTGGACAGGCTGGAGCCATGGGCTGAGGCCAACTGGAGGAGTTTCCATAAGGCCAAATGCCGGGGGCTGCCCTTGGGCCACAACAACCCCCAGCAGCGCTACAGGCTTGGGGAGGAGTGGCTGGAGAGCTGCCAGTCAGAGAGGGACCTGGGGTTGCTGATTGACAGCCGGCTGAACAGGAGCCAGCAGTGTGCCCAGGTGGCCAAGAGGGCCAATAGCATCCTGGCTTGTGTCAGCAATCGCGTGGCCAGCAGGGACAGGGAAGGGATCTCACCCCTGTACTTGGCACTGGTGAGGCCGCCCCTCAATTCCTGTGTTCAGTTTTGGGCCCCTCACTCCAAAAAGGACATTGAATGACTCGAGCGTGTCCAGAGAAGGGCAACGGAGCTGGTGCAGGGTCTGGAGCACAGGTCGTACGGGGAGCAGCTGAGGGAACTGGGGGTGTTTAGTCTGGAGCAGAGGAGGCTGAGGGGAGACCTCATTGCCCTCTACAGCTCCCTGAAAGGAGGGTGCAGACAGCTGGGGTTGAGCCTCTTTAGCCTAGTAGTAAGCAACAGGACAAGAGGTAATGGCCTCAAGTTGTGCCAGGGAAAGTTTAGACTAGATGTCAGGAAGCATTTCTTTACAGAAGGGGTTGTTGGGCATTGGAATGGGCTGCCCAGGGAGGTGGTGGAGTCCCCATCCCTGGAGGTGTTCAAGAGTCGGGTTGCCATAACGCTGAGGGATCTGGTGTAGTTGGAACTGTCATTGTTAGGTTAATGGTTGGACTTGATGATCTTCAAGGTCTTTTCTGACCTAGACAATTCCGTGATTCTTTATTTACTCAAATCTTGCATGTTGTGTCTTCCTTTTACTACTGCTTTCCTCAGAACTAATCTCTTCACTCCATCACACAAATATTTCTGAATGTAACTATGACTTCCATTTTATTTTCTTTCCATGGCTAGAATTGTGATCTGCATAATTTTGGAGAGGAGTAGACTCTTCACCAAGCTATATAATTTCAGTATGATTTTGAAATTATTATTCCTGTTCTCAAGCAATATTCAGCTTGCTGATCCCTTCAGTATTTCAGTTAGTGTTCCTTACGTAGAATATCTTTTATTCTGTTACTTTTAAAATATGCCAGATATTGATGGCAAAATAAAGTCTTCAGAACTAAGGGGATTTAACCTGTGACATTTGTTATAGGCTTATATTTAATAAAAGGAAACAAGAAAAAACAAATTTGAAATTCTGCATTATAAAAACCTGCTTTATTTAATGAAGCTAAAACTATAAAAACTATCAACTTGAGATTGACATGTTCAGATAGGAGCATTTTCAAGTGTTTGTTAAAAATCTGATTTTGCATAAATTAGGAGTGTCATTTAGATTTTACGGTTAGGCTCTTGGGAGACCTGATGCAGAATTTGACTGATTCTCTATATTTCTTTCTAAAATTATCTAGTATCTTAAGTCAGTGCACTGTAGATTAGAATTGGTTGTGACTAAAATTTTACCTGGAAATAAGTGTTTACCATTATCAGTCTTCTGCTCCAGCAATTCTGAGTTACTCTTAGATGGTATTTGCTTTATCACTGAGTCAGTGACTGGTTTTAAAGTGAAGGTTAATACTGAGAGTTCATGGAAACTTGACTCTCAGAAAACATACCTCCAGGCATCTAAATCTTAGGCCAGGTGAATCTCTTCTATGACTGGTATTGTTGCATTCCTGTTGAATTTTTGTCTGCCATAAATTTGTCTCAAACATGTCTTTTGGTTCCTGAGTTAACCACATCCAACCTGAATAAGAGGAAAGTATGAGCATCTCTTTAAAATGCCTACCATAGACTTCTTAGTAATTGAAATAATGACAACCTAAAATCCAGTATCATCGGCGCTTTCAGGCTTAGAATCAACTGCTGTGTATTTCTAAAATATTTGAACATTATCTTCTTCCTAAGAGATTTAACTCATTGTTAGAAGGCTGAAAAACAGTAACTGTTACTGTGTAGCAATTTTATATTTACAGAAAATTGTGTAGGACTGAGTTACAGGAAGCAATGAGGAAAAAGCAATGTTTCATTACTGAGATGGCTTTCTGTTTAAAAAAACAACCCAAACAAGCAAAAACAAACAAAAAAATGTAACACACTATCCACCTTTTACTGCTATAGTATTTAGAATGTGAGAGAGAAATCTGTGAGAACAGGTTGGTTAAAAGACGGCATTGGTAGGGGTAAGCAATAAATATATTTTCCATTTGTTACCACCATGTAGAAGGAGTGTTTATAGGCCAATAAGCTGTTGGTGAAATTTCTTTCTGCACATATCCTGTTTATAAGGGATTGTTGAATGCAAGATATGTTGTAACCCTAAAAAGTACATGGTTTGTATTTTAATGCTTTTTGGTCAGAGTGTAAAAACACAGTTTTCTGGCGTATTAATAAAAAGAGCTTTTTTGGCCTTGAGAACAGCTATAGAACAGCCTACAGAAAAAAAACAAAAAACAAAAAACAAAACAACCCAGAAAACAACCAACTCTTAAAAGCATTAAAAAGGGGGCATGTATGTTTGTGGGTTTTTGGAGGGGAGGTGTTTCTTAAGAGGCCGTGGAAACTGTTCACAGTTCCTTTGGAGGTGATACCTAATGATACAAGGTGTCTGTTGGTGCTGTGTAGAAAATCCTTGCCAGAAAGTCCGCATTTTCTTTATATATGGATACACAGGGAGATTACTTAAATGATAGGAAATGTTGTATTTATTGCTCATTGGGATAAAAGGTTGACCCTTTTTGGCATGTCTTAGACACTGGTATCTTGCCACCTACCGTGCTATTTGATTCCAGCAAATGGGGTAACACAGTAACTAGTAAACTTACATATTCTGTAGGGACTGTTGAGGGGGGTTTGGTGGTTTGACTTCGGCTAAATACCAGGTATCCACCAAGTCTCTCACTTCCCCCCCTTTCCCCTCGTTTTCTCAACAGGGCAAAGAGGGGAAAGAAAATAAGATAGACCAACCCTTGTGGGTAAAACAAAAGCAGTTTTAATATAAACAAAGTGAAGGAAAAAACAAAACAAAAAAAAAACCAAACAAAAAAACCCCACACACACAAAAAAAACCAAAACCAACCAACCAACCAAACAAACAAAAAAACAAAAAACACCAAAACCACCAAACATATTTATTCTCTCCTTCCCATGAAGAGGCGATGTGGAGCCTTCTCAGGAAGCAGGGCTCCGATACGAGTAGTGTTTGCCTTGGAGGACCAAGGGTGACCCCACCCCCTTCCTCCTTTCTCCCAGCTTTATCCTGAGCAGACGCCATATGGTCTGGAATATCCCTTTGGTCAGTTCGGGTCAGCTGTCCTGGCTGTGTCCCCTCCCAAGATCTTGCCCACCCCGTCCCACTGAGGGGGGAAATGTTGGGAAGAGCCTTGGTGCTGTGTAAGCCCTGCTCAGCAGTAGCCACAACACCAGGGTGTAACCAACACCCTGCCAGCTCCCAGCATAAAACACAGCACCGTGAGGGCTGCTATAGGGGAAAACCAATTCCACCTCAGCCAGACCTAGTACAGGGGGAAAAAGTCTTTACAAAAGTTTTTACAAAATATTCCTGTTGCTGTAGACTTATACATGTACCTCTGTGTGTACATTATTTTAACTGAATAAATCAACAGCCTAGGATTAAGATAATAAAAATGCCAGTGTGTTTGAATTTTTTTCCTTTTTGTCAAAACCATGATGGTGTTCAAATTGAATGACATCATCATTAACTAAAAGTAGGATCTGGTCCACTGTATCTGATAATAGAATAAGGTGGTATTAATTACACTGGTGCAGCGCTGGTCTTCGTATTTTAAGAACATGTTTCTTTGGTTTTAAATAGGTATGAGTTATAGGCAATATTAATTGTAATGGCAAGAGGTAAACCAAGTGCTACTCTTTATGGACTTTTCATGTTTGTGAAAAAGCTCATCTAAAACTTGGGTGTAGTACTGGTGAAAAATTGAAGATATTTGTGGTTTTAAAATTTTGCATATGCCAAAATTTCTGCTTGCCTACACTGATCAAAACTTCAGAATCTTTTATTGGCTTCATCTACTGTATCTGCCTAGGAGTTACAAGTCACACTTTTTAATTAGAATTAGCCTGAAGAATTTTAGGGTTCCTGTTTTTTTCAGAGATGTTTTTTAATAAAATTACAGGTGTGTTAATTCGCTGAATTATCTGGTCTACCTGCCATAAGAAATATTAACTAACCGTAACTTACTATACAGTTCTGTGGGTTTGTGGGGTTTTTTTTCCTCTTTCAACTTTTTTTGCTAACTTGTTTCTTCATTACAGCATTTAATATGAAATATTTACTTTTATTTGCATTGACAAGCTTCTCTTGTCCTTTTGATCACTCCCTTTGTTATTGTTTTGAGGACATTACCTTCTGGGGTGAAACTAATCTTATGCTCACTGCATCATTAACTTTTGCATTTAAATTAGCTATTCTTTGCCATTTATAATCATTAGCTGAACCCAAGAGAAGCCCAACCAATCCACAGGGTCTGGGTAGATTCTCCTAAAAAGATGATTGTTAATATTTCTGTATACAGACTTTAGGTTACATGTCACAAATCACCAAACTCTTCCTTGGGTAAATACTTGGGAAGGCGAGGATGACTTGATCAATCTGACATGTATGTAATTTTTTTCATATGTGTTGTTAAGTAATAGCACAAGATGCATGTGGTGGCCTCACCACTAAAATTTTGTTGGAAAATAAAAAAATTGTAATCTTTTTGTAATAGTTTACATGATAATGAAGACTTTAAAAAAAAATAAATCTGGAATGCTGAAGAAAGTCTACTGCTGACGAAGATGTTTTGTCCTGAGTCATGTTTTGGATACGTGATGCTTCCTGTCTCAGTTACAAATCTTGGAAATACCTGACAAGAAATATTCTTTTTGTTGGTACTGTCTTATTGTCGGTGTTAATATTTGCTTCCCTTCTCTCCCTACAGTCTGAGCTTTGTTCGGCCAAGACTGCTTACTAAATAAACATAGTTTAGTTCTTGAAATGACACACTTAATCTTTGCATATTCTCTTGTGTCTGGAGACTAGTTATGTGTCAAAATATAAACAGTGTGGTTTATTTTATTATCCTGCATCCAGTGGTCCTGTGCAGTATTTTTCTTTATATTAATAACCTGGAAGTTTTAGAAAGGTTTTCAGACAGAATATGTACTTGAGGAGGAATGGTGCTGAAGGAGTAGTTTTTGCTGCAGTGTTACGTCACTCATTAACAGATGAGCAACATATGATATTGTATGCTGAGAATTCTATGTTGTTTAAAAAAAAAAATCTAAAATAGTTTTTTGAAGACAACACATTTTAGGTAGCATAGACTTCTGTGATAGAGGAGTTGTAATTTCTAGATTGTTAATCTGAACACTAAATAAATATGACATGATATTCTTGATGGAACTAACTACTAAAAGTTAGTAAAATAACAAAATGGACTTTGGTACCATATGTAAATAGATTTAAGCAATATTGTATTGACAGGATGTCAGTTAAAGTTTATGTAAGCAGTATGTATGTTTTAGTCATTTTCATCCATCAAAGTGTAATATTATATTTTTCTATTTAATAGAACATTTATGATATGTTAGGATTTAGGTAAAGTGATCCAATGCAATCCAGTTCATTAATCTGCTTCTGTGAAATACTTATTGATGAAACATTTTGAAATATGAACATTGTGTGAAAGATGACTAAGTCTTCCTAGATGCTTGAAATTTGTATAGATTTTATATCTAATTAAAATGCAAGTATTTTGATCCCTCTGCTCTCCTTTAGCTATTAAACAATGAGTTTCAGTAAGTGATTGGAAGTAAAATAATTTGTACATTCTGCACCTCCATTTTTCCCCATGTTCACATGGAATTGGAGGATAATTTGTACAACTTGAAAGAGAAAGTTGACTACTTTGTACCTTCTTTTCATTAATTGTGGAGATGCAGAGCTGTCTGCTCAGTGACATGCAAGCCTGGTTTTGGAACTGAAACCTTTAATTCTCATAGATTGTAAATTTGTTATTAGCACCTGCTGTTAGTTTAATAGGCATGTATGTGATGACATGGGCACCTAAGCCTTGATTTTTTTTTTTTTTATTATTATTTTTTAAAAGCTGCTATACACTTACTGAAGAGTGTCTTTGACACTATAATTATGTTCCTACAAATAAAATTTGGCATTTTGACATGGAAAAACTGTCTTGTAAGACTGTTCATGAAACTAAATGCATGTGTTTATTTGTCTGAGGCAGCTACTAATCTGTGCAATGTGCCCATATTGTCTTTGTATTGCTTCAACAAATGATCTGAAACTGTTTAGTTTATTAGAGTGCAGTACTTCTAATATTTCTGAATACATTATGTAAGCCTTTGGAAAAATTACTTTGTGAGATACAAAATCAGCTGTAGCTTTTATTTTTTTTCCTTTTTTTTTTTAATTTTAGGATTTTGGTAGTCTCTTACACTTGGAACAATAGGCTGTTTTGCAGTGTTTCTCTTCAGTAGAACTAATTTCATTTTAGCATTACATTTAGAAACATTGCCAGCTCTGTTTCATTATTTTAGCTCTCTAGTTCTGCAGCCTTGGAAGGGAAAGGACAATTAAAATTTACTTCTGGAAGATGGAGTCCACACCACAGTTGTACACAGATTGCAACAGCCAATGATACCACTGTTCGAGGATGGGATACACGAAGCATGAGGTAATAAGAAATTGTAATCTTGTTCTCAAAGAAAGACAATCTCCTTTGGAGATACATTTTTTTTTTTCATTGCTCCTAACATTTTTTTTTTTTTTTTAAGATTAGAAATGTGGCAAAGCTATCACTTTTAAAAGGAATGGTTGAGCTTGCATAGCTGATATGTTTACAATTTAGTAAGGGTTTTCTCTGTTGTTTCCTCCTCAGCTGCAGTTGTAACTTGTATATTGAGTTTTACTGAACTGTGTACTAGTCTGAGGATGATTTGTTCAATACATAGGCATTACCTGAACGAAGGTATTCTGTAATTCAATCTGAAAATGATTTAACAACAGTCCTGACTATGCTATGAACTGACTTCACAGCATACTATTTAAAGGTACCTTTATTCTCTGAAGGTAATTCACAGGTTAAGTTTGCTCTTTACTTTTCTGATTTTTAACAAATAGCATAATATATTAAAGATTGTAGTATGCTAGTTATATGAAACTACTGAATCTATCAAAATCATAACCAAATCAATTAAGCTTTGAATATACCTAATAAGGTGTTTTCCTCCCTGCACAGTTGTGATTTTGATAAGCAAAGGAGTGATGTTGTGCACATCTGTTGCCATGACTACTAAAGCCTGTGCAAGCTTTTTTAAGATACGCTTTATCCCCTTAGCACATAGTAATTTATCACTAAACCGAGAAGACTGATGTCTTGTAATAACTTCTGTTGCCTTAAAGGGGGATGACTTTAAATTTAGTTCTATGGTTCCTGCCAGCTCAGGGATGTAGTAATAAATCCCCATGTTTGCCAACTTTGTGTGTTTTTGCTGAAAAGGTTTATTTAATTTAAGAAAGAAAAGGTAAAAATACAAATATAATAATTAAAACTCACTTCCTGTGTGCTTGTCATCAGGTTTGAAAGTCCTGTTCATTGCCTTGTAAAAGGATACATAAAAATCAGCCTTCATATATATGAGTATACTTTGATTTATGAAGACTCGTTTAAATGAAACATACAAGAGAGGAAAGAAAGGTGAAAGGAGAGAGGTGGTCTTCTTTAAGCTACCTTTTTCTATTGTTTTTGTAATCATCCTATTTTTAACATATAGCATGCAGAATTTAAGATTAAAGCCTGTGTTTCCCTGTAGAAAATGTTAACTCTCGTAAAGTCATCTTCATACTCAGTCTCATTAGAAAAAGCATCTCTCTCTTGCATGAATGAATACTCTAACTTTTATGAAAGATACCATAGTCCAGATATTAACAAGGTCCTCAATGGAAGGGTAGCTTGGTTAACAAAAGCAAACCCCACCTGAGTGAAGCTCATGTTAGATAGTCCTTAAACCAATTTAGAAGTATTAGGCTATGCCAAAGAACTGTTTGCGGTGTACATAAAAAATATGTTCAAGAATCTCATCTGTAAATACACTGTAATATGTCTAAAGTGATGTGAATATTTAATAATTAATAAAAATAGTTAGGCTAGAAGTACGTGTTTAAAGTCAGGGCGGTATAAACTGTGGCAGTATAAGAAGCCAAAAATGGGGGGGGGGAGGCAGCAGAAATCAAGGAGAGAAAACTGCTGTACCAGCAAAGAGTAAGAAGAGAGAGATACTAAAGAGATAGCTAGAAATAGCTACTTCCACAAGAGTGCAGTTATGATAGCTGTAAAGTAGAGGGAGTAAGTTATTTTGGACATAGCAAACAAAGAAGGGGAAGGAAAAAAGAGGTTAATGGGAAGACTCCTGGACTAGACTAGGAAGCAATCTCAATCAGAGAAGAGCTTGTGAAGCAGAGAAGACAAGACACTAAGATGAATGCATTTAGAGAGAGAATTGTATCAGGAAAATTCAGACTCCAAGAACAAATTCTAAAAAAATATAGAAAATGATGATGATTAGGAAGTGGAGCCAGTAGCTGGAGAAAATGTTCATGTGGTCTGTCCTTAATCTTATAATGTAACTGGGAAATTCAATGTAGATATTGTTGCTGTAGGTAAGCTGATAGAGTGAAAGAAAAAAATATTTGGGAAGGAAAGGGATTGAGTGGCCAGAATAATAGTTAGGTTGGGATAAAGGCTTTTATGGTAAGCACTACTGAACATACAGTGGACAGTAGTATTTCTTTTTAAGTGTCTTTTTACACATATCTCCATGAGCAATATAAGAAGTACAAAAAAGAAGTGAAAGGTGAAGTAAAGGATGAAAGAAGTGGTTTATTGCTGCAAGCATGCTTGACATTTAAAAATTTTCCCTTAAATATATTTCAAGAAATAAAGAGAAAATACTGAATTTGATTCCCAGAATACCTGGGAGAAAGGCATACCTGAGTGATATTCTCAGAGTTTGAGAGGTTAAGAGTGTTGATGTTGGATATCTAAGCAATGTCCTTTATCCCAAGTGACTGTTCTAGCTGTCAGGATAGGGCTTAGTAAAGGCCTGGTATACTTTAGATCTCTCCTTATGGAGCTACTTTGCTTTGTGTTAGTAGTTAGGTGTTAACAGCAAGAGACTTCTCTATATGGTATTGACAGGAAACCGTATATACAGTGCAAGCAATACTAAGTTTTAGTCAGTCTATGTTTCTGAAGAGAAACATTTTTCCTTTTAAAAAAAAAGAAAAAAACCTCACAAAGTGTTTATGAGTTTTAGTGAAGATTGTAGGAGACTATCAAATCTAAGCAGCACTTTGACAGATGGAGGCTTTTGAGGAAGCTGGCAATGCAGTAGTGGAAACAAAACAAAACAAAAAAAACCAACAAGCCCCAAGTTTAAGAGATGAGGTAGGGAGACAAGCTGATGGAACATGATGTTTTGAATAAGGATGCTAGGTTGTTAGCAGTACTACAAATGTTTTCTGAAGTGGTCCAGATGGATGAGTATGCGCATGACTGAGCAGTTTAAGAGCCACAGGTAAATTAATGATAAGTGCCAGATCTCAAGAAGGTAAGTTCAAATTGAGCAATAATAAAAAGCTGCTGTTCATATCTGTTGCATCACTTGCATCTCAGCTTTTCATATAGGGAGAACGAGATGTCATAAATACAGAATTAGTATAACTACTTAGGGATGGAGAAGCTCTTATCTGAAAACGTTGTGGTTTAGTAGCAGACATTTCATAACAGTTGTTAGAGAGCTGTGCTAGAATCATCTGGAACAACTGTTTCCTTTTAGCTCCAGATGATCCTAATACAAACAAGGAAAAAGCAAAGCTTGAAAGCAAACTGAGAAATCTGTACAAGTCACTGCTGTTAACAGCTGGGATTTCCCTAAACTATGCACTAGCATTGTGAACTCTAGGTCTGCGGGTGCTAAGGGGATTATGCAAGTTTCCAGGGAAACAGATTCCTGTCAGTGGAGTGCAGTTAGCTTTTTATAGACCATTTAATTTTTTTTAATGTGTTTTACAGACAGATATATTGCATAGAAAATGCACATGGACAGCTGGTACGAGACCTAGACTTTAATCCCAATAAACAGTACTACCTGGCTAGCTGTGGAGATGACTGCAAGGTGAAATTCTGGGACACAAGAAATGTCACTGAACCAGTGAAGACACTAGAGGAGCATTCCCACTGGTAGAACAAATTATCTGCATGCTGTTTTGCGGGTGGATGGCTTATGTAATTTATTCAGCTAATTATTTTACTGTTTAGGAACAATGCAAACTAACTATGTTTATGCTATTGTGAATAATCATTTTTCTGCACAGAGGAAAGGTTTCAACATGTGAATGTTCCTTGTGTGATTGTAAATTAAGAGTTTAGACGTTAGTCTAATTGTTAAGAAATTGTCATTAACATTGTTGGGAGATAGGGTACACCTTTGAGAAGCACAGCACAGAACTTGGCTTGTAGGTGCCAACTGGGACACAGGTGTGTGCCTCCCCAAATTGTGCCTGATCTGCTGCATCTGATGTGCAGAAAAGCAGCTGCAATCTATCTTTCTATTGTTGAATGGTTGCAATGTTCAATAATTCAGCCCGACTTTCTTCATGCTCTTCATAGTCCTTAAGACAGCATATGCAAGTGAGTAATTTTATTCTCTGAGATAATATTTAGAGCCTGTATCTACAGCTATGGCCTCTGGCTGGAGCAAGGAGAGAATCTTGTCTGACATTTGCAGACTTCAGTAGTTAAGAAAAAATGAGCGGTTCGTATTTTATAAAATTTCAGTTGGAGTTATTCTTACAAAATAAATCTGGACCCTGGAGCTACTTAGAGGAGAATGAAGATGTGAATTAACAGAAGCAGCTTTTTTACTTTTTTTTTTCCCCAGAAGATTAAAAGAAAAAGAATAAAACAATAACCATGAGACATTTGGTATTAACTGGATATGTAAAATGTAAAAATTGAAGATAAATATAATCCTATTTTTGGTTTAGGGTCTATTTTAAACTTTACTGTAAGAATGTTGTGAGTTTTTTGTTTAACAGGGTATTTCTAATCTGTATTTTGCTTTGGGGAAATTTTTATATTTAGAACTTAAATATTTATCTGACTTGCTAAACAATGAATTGTTATGTACCCTCAAGGAATAATACCACTGAATGGTGTGTTTTGTTCTTTGGATTTTTTTTTTTTTCCAAACTTATTTCTTGAATTTTAAAGACACTTCATAGAAAACAGGTGACATGGAAGCTTAAAAGCCAGGTGAAGATGACAAAAAACAGTCTTTGGAATGAGGCATGTCACTTCTATGCGTACTTACAACATAGAAGTCAAAGATGAATTTTTAGTTCTGTATAAAAAAACCCAAATCACAATATTGATGCACTACCTGCCTAAAATTGCTTCTTGTTCTTTCTGATTCCATTTTTTTAGGGTCTGGAATGTCAGATACAATCATTCTCATGATCAGCTGATCCTTACAGGAAGCAGTGATAGCAGAGTTATCCTGTCTAATATGGTATCAATTTCTTCTGAACCATTTGGACATATGGTAGATGATGATGAACTAAGTGACCAAGAGGACCAGCATCAAGAAGAGAAGTATGGGGTTTCCTTGGTTTTATGCAGATGCTTATAGTTTGTCTTTTCATTGAAATGGTTAACATGCTATTTTTTTTACTGACTAGGATTTTTGTATACAGGCCTTTCAGGTAAGTAGTTTTAATTTCTACTTCATTTACTCAAAGTCTTGGGTGGAATACACACTTTAAATCTGATTGGCATGATCACTGTATATTCACTGCTAGGAAGGGGATGGTGATGTGGAGGACCAGTCCTAAAGTCCACTGGATCAATGAAAAGACTCACTTTAAGGGAGCTCTGGATCAAGTCAAGCACATGCAAGTTCACTGGGTTAAGTGAGAGCTGAAAATCTGCTTTCTGCATTTTCTGTGTATCAGTTGTAATCTTTAGGAAACGTTACTAGTCTAATGGTGAGCTTCTGCACAGGCAGAAGAAAGGAAGTATCAATACATTATTTTTTGTAAATTTTGCTCTTATTATTGCTGACTGCTCTAGAAACCAGTAACTCATCAGACCTACTTCAAGCAAAACAGACGTTTGTTTTTGACACTCTTGGTAGAGACTAACGCATGTTATTGCAAGCATTTGTAAACACCATCCACCTGGATGTATGAGGAATCATGTCTTTTGCATGTGAATTTTGGAGGGATGTGGGTTTTAGTAAAGAGTTAAATGAAATGCTGAAATAGTTATTTTTTATCTTCCATTTTTGTCTGCTTTCAACTTTTTCATTGTGAAATACGTGACGATTGTTTTCATCTGTGTACTTCTTTCTGAATATATATCTATATAGTGAATTCCGTAGATCTAGTGTGGGCTGAGGTTTTCTAGTTTTGTGACTAGTTTACATGGTGATCTTGAGCAAACTCTTCCTTTACAAAGTGAAGATAATAATACTGGAAGTCATGTAAAATATTTTGAGACCAACAGGCTTTAGTCTGTATTTTTGTTGTTCTTTGCAGCTGAATAGCCTTGTTCTATACATCTTCACTGATCATTTGGGTTTTTGTTTCTGTTAATGTATTTTAAGATGCATAGCTGTCTGCAATGAATTAGGCAGATTGCCTCCAGAACTATCTTTTTCAGTGAAGAATAGTCAGATGGGATGAAGAACAAGGAAATTATAGTTACTCAGCTGTGTTTGCTAGATGTTTCAGTTAAAATTCTAGATGAAGCTGAGGTTACTTCTCTAGTTGCATTTTTAAGGTTGCTTTTGCACCTTTATTAACTAAGATATAGTTTTGACATTTTGGTTTCACATAAAGGACTTGGAAACCATTTTATTAAATAAGAAAGCTATCTCATATATAGAAGTGATTTTGTTAAATGTACAAGATGTCTTTAGAAGCAATAGGTTATGTAAATGCCTGGAAAATCAAGGTGTATCAAATTACGTACCTACAAAGTCGATCACATCAACAGTACATACTTTCTAGAACATAACTACAGCATTTTAAGTATGATGTACCTTTTATTTCCTTACATTTGGCTAGCTATTGCAATTTGTTCTGGATAGAAGATAAATAGCATTAGTGGAAATGAGAAAGAGACCACTTTTTATATACACACACACATATATATATATATATATATATATATATGATGGGAATGTATTAATATAAATAATATCACAAGTAAATAGTCTTCTGACAGATGTTGTATAGTTGGTTTTCTGGAGTTCTGAGTTTCTGTTGATTGTAGACCATGTAGGTTGCCTCACTGAAACACAAGTGATTCTTTCTAGAATAGGAATTTTTGAAACCAAGAATGTGCAAAGCGATACAACAAATATAATGCATCTTTTCTTTTGGCTATGGGATGGATGTAAAACACATTATGAGTGACTTGTATAGTAATAATGTAGAGCCCTTGCCTGTTCCTAGAGGCTACAAGAGTATCAATACTGCATTTACTTTTTAAATATATGCTTTTCAGCTGCCAATCTGTTCTCTATAAAACCTGAGAAAGCACATGAGCTTTTTTAACATTTGCTTAGTATTGTAAGAGTCTTGGTTTGGTTTTTGGTTTGTGGTTTGTTTGTTGGGGTGTTTTTGCCCCTCCTTGTTATGTGTTGATCTAAAAGAATGTTTACGAGGTGCTCACCAGCCTTGAAGTGTTGCTAGGTGAATGTCTGTTTACTTCTGAGCACACTAATGAACCAGGGCATAACAACTGTTGGGAATACTTCTTGTTAGTCAACCTTTAGTGCCAAATATTTAGGCTTTAGTACCCTTTTCCCTCCTGGAGACCTCTTTGAAAAGTCTGTTGCACCGTTCCATGGGTACTGTCTCTTCTGTAAAACACAGATTTTTATTGTATGGTTTGATGGGGTGGTGTATCTGTGTATGTGTGGGTTTTTTTTTGCTTGGGTATGTTCTAGACTTTTAAGGAAGTCTTATATTCTCACTGGGTTCATATTTATACTGTTTTGGAGGACATCTGGTTTGCTATTAAATAGCACACAAATATTTAAAAAGAAAATGTCTTTTTTAGGTGTATCTTGAAATACACCAGAAAGAGCAGGTGTGTGTACAACGAGTATCTCCAGCCAGTCACCTTCAGACTGAGTGACCAAATCTCCCTGAAAAGAAGGTTGAAGTATCAAGTGGAAGGAAGGAAGGAAGAAGGCTCTTTCTTCATGGGCTACCTATTTTTCATGTTCTGGATAAATTAACTTGTAAAAACACTCCTTGGATTAAGTATGAAAATGAAGTGTATGTTTCAGTTGTATCTTCAAAGGGTTTTGTTTGTTTGTTTCTACTTAGCAAAAATCCCCATATTTTAAAAAAGGTGACTTATAGTACTAGTCTACACAGTTAAGACTTCTGAGGTCTTTAGGACTCATGTTATTTTTTAGTATATTTTGGAGTAAACTTTATAATTTTTATTGTATTTCTTGGCTGGAGACAAAAGTAAGTAATATGTTAGTTTAACCCTTTGTTGTTCAACCATGTAGAAATATGCGTAAGTCTACCCACCAATTATTTCTTGTCATTTTCTGTATTAACTACCTACTTTTTAAGGCTCATGGCTGAGAAAACAAAACAAAAAAAAAATTGGCTCACTGAGTAATGAATAGACAACAAACCAAAAGTTGCTGTATTCTAAAGGAATTATTCCCTGAGGTTTTTCCTTTAGGTGTTTATCCAATGTATGTGTTGACATCTTGGAACTTTATATGCTCCCGTCTCAGACACCAGAACGTGCTTGCATAAGCATAACTAGGACTATTGCATGAGGATCTGTCTCTTGTTGCAATTGAGTGACCTTCAGTTCATTTTAACTGCTGATTCAGATCAGGGCAACTATTTTGCTGTCTTTTCCCTGCTTTTAAACTGCTATTGTTGTTGTTTCTCTCATCAATCATAAAAATGTAAGAGCAGCCTGTATCATATCAAGGGTCTCCCTAGCCTGTGTCTGATTATTCCCTTTAGGATGTTTTTTTTGCCATCAGCCATATACTTGAGTTTATCTCTTCTCGCTGACTGTGTTTTTGTTTGTTTGAAACACACTAGCTGTGCACACTCTGCCTCTGTGAAATGTGTCTAGGACAAACATGCCAACTGCATTTAGTTTTTGCACTCAATAAGGAAAGGCTTCAGTGATTTTTGTCTGGGAAGACCAAACCCACTGTCAAAAGTTAGGCAGTCTAAAAAGAGGATCAAGCTGTCCAAGGAGAGAAGGTATAGGCATGTGGTCAGAGGAGAGCTGTAGTATGTTCTGGTCAAGTCTCTAGACTGGATAATTTAATGCACGATTCAAATATGGAAAAAAAAATAGCCGAGAAATGGGTCTTGAAAAGCTGTACTCCTATCTTAATTTCTAGCACCTTAATCCAGAGGTAGAAAAGAGTGCACAAAACAAATGAAAATAGAACAGATTAAGTGAGTAAAAAGAACCCCAGAAGAGCCTTTGTAGTGGATGACTCCATTCTGAGGGGTGTCAAAGGCCCCATATGCAGACCAGACCCACTTCACAGGGACATCTGCTGCCTCCCTGGGGCCCATGTCAAGGTCCTCACAGCAAAACTTCCTGCTCTAGTGAGACCCAAGGACTACTACCTTCTGTTTTTTCAGGTAGGCAGTGACGACATTACTGTGAGAAGTCCTAAAGCAATGAAGAGAGATTTCAGGTCCTTGGGGAAACTGATTTATGGGTTGGAGGGCACAAATTGTGTTCTCCTCCATCCCTTCAGTTGTGGGGATGGATGAAGAATACCACCATAGAACTCAACAGATGAACTTGTGGCTCCAAGACTGGTGTTACCATCAGGGCTTTAAATTTTTTGTTCATGCGTTGGTATATAGGATGCCAGACCTTTTGGCATTAGATAGGATGCACCTGTCCCAGAAGGGGAGGAGGATCTTGGGGCAAGAGTTAGCTGGGCTCATTGACAGAGCTTTAAACTAGATTTGAAGGGGGAAGGGGGCAAAACACCAGCCCATCTGAAGTGCATGTGTACCAATGCACACAGCATGGGTAACAAACAGGAGCTTGAAGCCATGATGAAACAGGAAAATTATCATGTCATGGCTATTACAGAAACATGGTGGGATGTCTGTCATGACTGGAGTGTGCCAAGAGATGGCTACAAGCTCTTTAGGAGGGATAGACAAGGAAAGAGCTGTGGTGGGGTGGTGCTGTATGTTAAGGACTGTTATGATTGCTTTGAGCACAGGTGTAGTGAAGACAGGGTGGAGTGTCTTTGTGTTAGAATCAGGGGGAAGGCCAACAGGGCAGATGTTGTAGTAGGAGTCTACTACAGGCCACCCACCCAGAACAGAGAGGTGGATGAAATATTCTGTAGACACTTAAGAGAAATGTCACGATCACTTGTCCTTGTTCTTGTGGGTAACTTTAACTTCTCAGACATCTGCTGGAAATACAGCAGAGCGAGACCAGTCCTGGAGATTCCTGGACTGTGTGGGAGACAACTTCCTGATGCAGCTGGTGAGTGAATCGACCAGAGAAGGTGCGCTGCTGGATCTCCTCTTTGTGAACAGAGAATGACTGATGGA